TTTTTTTTTTTTTTTTCTTTCTTTTTCGGATTCGAGTCGAGGAAAGTACGGTTGTATGGAAATCGCTGCTGCGATTGTAAAAACAGCAACGGAGGATAATTTAATTCTGAACTTTCTTCACTCGCAAATGACGTACGGTTGGTAATTTATCTTGGGTCGCGAAAATTTGGAGTATATTTAATCTTGCTTTTTGAGTTTTTGTTTCTTCGAATTCTTCATAAGTGTGTGAAAATCCGCCGTTTCATTGCTATCTATATACGTACGAGGCCAATTCTTTGCTAGGGAAGTTCTATTTTTCTAAAAAATAGAAAACTCTTAAATATTTTTATCAGTCGACGTGTACTAATTAAATTTCAAATTCCATTAGAAACTGAGCTTCAAATTTTAATCTTCATTTTTTTTTTCCTTATCTTTTCTACGAGAAATCACTTCATATCAACTTGTCAGTCTGCTCGAATATTACGTAAAATTATCCTAATCCCAGGCAATGTACAAACTCACGCAAATCGCACGCAAAATTGCCTCGAACTAATTGTTCCCTGAGCTATCTGAACCGAAGTCCATTAAATCAGCCAATTAAAACCATCCCCACGCTTTCGCAAAAAGGGAAAAAAGAAACTAGCGTGTTTTCTTTTCGATGCAATGAAGACCACGCGAGCAGATCCAACTTGCATCCAACGTGTAACTTGACTTCGTCTCGAGATAATATCGTTCAATATTTCGCACACGCCATTAAGCACGCAACCAATTTACGTTAGCCGGAATTGCGCAACAACGGAGGAACGGAGCCGTCTGTTAATCGTTCGTTGCGAAAAATGAAAAAAAAAAAAAAAAAAAGAAGTCAGGCTCATATATCGATACTCATTAGGCCCGCGGAACGTTGCCAAATACACAAGCGTTCCAGATTATATTCAGATCACTCTCATTATCTCGGAGGTCAGGGCAAGCTGGAAGTAAGAATGAATTCCAGGCGGCGACTTTCACGTTGCGTAACCGAGCGTTTGTTTCTCCTGTTCACTCGTTGGACTCTCTCGCGCTCGCGTGAACACGCGTGAACGCACTGGTGTGTGCATCAGCACGTAATTGATGCTGCTTTACGAGCAAATGAATTTAGCTACCAAATGAGGCGATGCCGTTGCCGGTAACGCGCCTAGTGAAAAGTGAAACCGAGAACGATCACGTGCAATGATGACAGAATGTAGCATTTGTCAAGCAAGGATTCTTTTTGTAACAACTTGTACGAATAAGAATGAGAATAAGTGTACGGTATTCTCTCAGTGTCGATTATAATACGTCTAGTCTGTAGGATTTATTAAAATAATTGGCACTGGGTTGTGAAGAAGTTCGAGTTGCCGAAAATATGGAATTCATTTCGATAGCTTCAGATTTTCGAGAATCATATTTAAATTTAAGTTTCGAATTTTAGAAGTTTTGGTTAGTAGCGAATGTTAAAAGTTTTTTAATATAGTTTGATATCTTAAAATGTTCGAAGCATAGTTTAAGGCTTAAGTTTTAAAAGCTCTGGTTAATCTCGAGCCTTGAAGATCTTAATTAGCTTCCAAGATTTTAATTATTTTCGAATTTTAGAAGTTTTCGTTAGCGGATCCTGAAATATAGTTTTTAAAATATAGTTTATACCTAGCCTAAAACTAACCTAAACCTTCAAATTTTTGAGAATCATAGTAGTTGAGTTTAAGTCTTGAAAGTACTGATTGGTCTTGGGCCTGGAAGATCTTAATTAGCTTCGAAAATTTCATTTAACACCGAGTCTTACAATTAAAAGTTTTAGTTAGGTTTGTCTTACTATTAGAAGTTTGATTAGGTTTAGATTCATCTCCTGTCCCGAGACTGAGTTACCGCGACAAAGAAACAATTACGAATATTAATAAATTTTATCTATGAAATCAATATTATTATACAATTAAATTTGACGAACTCGTCATCGGTTAATTTCAGCTACAATATACACTTTTAGAACAGAATTGCACTTTATTAACATGTTGATGTATTCAATTACAAGTTATATAATTACTCCAAGAAATTCCAACTGACAAAGTAACAAATATTCAACACTTTCACATCTGTATTC